CTACAGCACTCTAGCCCAGGCAACAGAGTGAGGCTCTGTCTCAAAAATGAATAAATAAATAAATACATAAAATATAAAAATGCTAGCAAGCACCAATGTGCTAATATTTCTATGATCCTGGAAATTAGTAAGTATAACAAGTTTTACATTCCATTACAGTATTTGTTAAAAATGACTGCATTCCATTATACTTCACTGTTGTTGCTCAACCATTTCAAAGAAGTAACAAGAATGTTACCAAATGGCAGTGGAAAATAAATGAGAGATTTTCTCTGGGTTGGATAGTTTCCCAAAATGTTTTACTTTCCAGCGATGAAAACATGAAAATGTCTATATTTATTTCACACTGGCAAAGGTGCATTAATCAATTGTCTTAATTATATCATCTTGTGAAAAGGCAATTTTACAAAACGTTATTACAGAGAACTTGCATTTTAAGCCAAATTTTTATCTGTTTTTTTAAGTTCATCAAATTATTTTAACTTTGTTTAATTTTTAAAAAAAAAACCAGGGATTAAAAATCATTATTTTAATTTTGACATTCAATAACCCCTGCCATGACCAATAATAATTTTAAGTTTATCTAAATTGTGATTGAAGATAGATAGGGAAATGTAGCTTCCAAACCCCTAGAGGGGGTTGTCCACCCCACAGATACCTCTGGAGATGTATGCTGTAACAGAGGCAAAGAGTCGCTAGGTGGCTCCGTCATTTTTAAATAAAACCTAAGGTCCGCAAAAGATAATTTACAGTTAAGGAACGAAATATTCCTACTAGGTAGAACTTTAGAAAAACAAAACAAGGAACAATAATCGGCAATCGCGGACTCTCATTCATAATAATTTGGAGCTATTGGGTTAAGAATTAAGACTCTAATGAAAAATGCAAAACTACAAACCAGGTACTGGTAAGCAATTTGCTAAAAGATAAAAGAAAGTATTATATTCTTAAGGACATGAATTACTAAAGGGAGGTAGCTTCAAATTTTTCATAATTTATTGCCATCTTTAGGTTTCCAACTTCTCTTTTGGCATTTCTCTTTTTAGTTTAGATCTTTAAACTTAAGAACACATTACATTGGGGCATGATAACTTATTTATTTAAAAATGCTTTCCAATTTCTTGGGTCATACTTGTCATCCTTATTAACATCCCAGGATAAAACTCAAAACAAAATCAAACAACTTCATTTTAGGCCATGTAGGAAGAAGGAAAAAAAAAAGCACCGTACTTATCTAAATTAAGAAAACATTTAGATCCTAGAACCAAAATACAATTAAGAGACACACCATTCTTTTTTACAGCATTTGCCAGGATATTGGATAGAAACAGTGCTTTAGTGCTGACAATAATTTCTTTGTGGTTCCAGAAAAGACAAAGGTACCCAAATTTGCTAATTAAATATCTCTGGATTTTATTTGTTAAGAGGTGAGATGCCAGAAGACAAGAATTTCTCCCAAAAGTACATAACTAACTTTATCATGAAAATAAATCTCTCCGGGGAGGGGGGGGTGTGCGAACGATTAAATATTTTGAACTATCAGTCTGCAATTGGCAAACAGTCAGAAAAAAAATTTTCCTCTCTCCCTCTCGCTTAAATGAGACCTTCAGACCTGTCACTTATTAAGAACACATTTAGGAAAACTTTTGGTAGTAAAATAAATTATTTTCTTGTTGTTGTTTTGAGCCAATAAACGA